TCAAATATAACGAAAGTTAATGTAAGTTCAGTCTGTTTTTAGCAATATAGCAACAAATTGTAATTGTAAAAATAATAAATTCTATCAAAATATTGTAAAATCAATATTCTTTTCAAATATACCAACGCGAATTGTAAGTTTAGTTTGTTCTATCATAGATCTTTATGAAATTAAAATGGAAATTCATTAGCAGAATAATTTTTAAATAAATTATAACTATCCAAACACTAACACTAATTGTATTTCTAAGAAAATATGAAGACACAAAAATAAATGAACAATATGAACAATGTGAAGAATATGAACAGATCTTTTAATTTTGCCTTATGGAACAAGAAATTTAGCTTACCTGAAATAAGAAAAAGTATTGAACTCCCGTTATCGAAACTGCGGTTTGCGGGATGATGGCTCAATTTTATACGGCTTTCCGAATCTTGGTTGAAAATGAATCCTAATTTGGGGGAAACGCTTGTATTACATGACCAATGGTCAGGTACTTTATGCTGTTAGAAATGTATACAATATCTTGGTTATTATGTCAAGTTTGTATGTCGATTTATTATCTTCAGGACGTCGCATTTTTAACGAATATGTCACATGTCTTGAATTAGATTGTGCATAGTGATTTTATTGGATACACCTACTTTCAATCATTTTATGTTCAATAGCGAAATATGTTGATCGTGCTAGAATTATTAATTGTTGGTGTTCTTAGCTCTTGTCTCTTGATTTGAATTATGAGTATTGTTTACTTATTTGATTAAGTAAACAAGGTAAATGTATTTTTACTAAGATGTTGTAGAAACATTCTGAGTGACTGAGTACATTTGGGTATAAATAGAAGTAGCATATTTTAATTTTGATATCGCGAAGCTTTGTATTCTTACACGAATAGATAACAAATATGTGTACAGCAAACATAGCAAGTTGTTATTTTGTATTAACTATTTTTTTTTCTTTCCGAGATTAAGACCTTGTCACTTTCTAGGTGTAGAATTATTTCATGAAAATGTATTTTTTTACATGAATACAACAGACGCTAACTCGTTTGGTAATCACAGGATGCCATTTATGTATCCTATCCAATTGCATTGTTTCTTCATACCTGTAAACCAGAGCAACCACATTGTTCACTGAAAACATTTATATGCTATGCATAATATTTACATGGTTATTTATCCACGTACAACTTATCATTTACCTAGCTTTAGCACTTTTTGAGTTATAGCAGGATCTACATTTTTGGCACTGACGGACAAAGCGGCCGACGGGGTAAAAAAATTCAAATGAATATTATAACCTCAATATAATCCTTTATCTACATACAAAATATCATCTACCTAATTTTTGTAGTCTTTGACTTATTGCTGGATCGCTATTTCTATTGACGGACAGAATGGCATACGGACAGATAGAAAAAAATGTGCATTATCTCCATATGACTTCCAAATACCATTATCAAGAATCATTTGAGTGGATACAATGACAGACAGACGGATTGACAAACAGATATAAGAAAAAAATAAGTGCTTAAACTCTATATGGCCTTTTATACACATTCCAAGAATCTATATAGTGTTTAAACTTGATATTTAAAGCACCAACTTCATATAAGACAATACCTCTGAGCAACCGCTTGCCTTTCAATTATTCAATTACTTGATCAAGCCAGGTTACACAACTGTGTCTCTCTCTGTACCCCTTGTTTATTCTGATCTAATTAAGGTCTCTGTGTTACATCTCAAAAATACAAAGCATTTTTTAGGTTCTCGTGCCCGCAAATTGAACCGTGCTTCCATTGCTTTCCTTCCATGTTTTCTTTTACATTGTTTTGATAATTATATACTGTTCATATTCAGTATATGAAAACCAAAATAAGCTAAGAGGAGGGCATTAAGTGAACGCATCCCCAACACAACCCAGCAACACAGAACCATCAGAAAGGAGCCCAGTAGGACACCAAACAAAAGCGGGCACAGGGTCAGTTATCACTAATAATTTAAAAGAGGAAATAGAAACGGATAAGGATATTACAGAAGAGTTTAAATCCAAAGGCATACAAAAGAACAAGTGTGCTGGGAAGGGGGACTATTATTCGTACAAAGGAAAAATAACAAAGATTGAAAATATATTTATGAAACAGGTTCTACAATGAAATAACTTCCAGCTGTGTGAAACTATCAGTTTAATCGACAATTTCTAAATTTCTGTAACATTTCAACGCCGGGTGTACGCAATATCCAGAATCAAAATTGCATTCAACGCGAAATACTGACGAGAAAGGGAAGACTTGTGTCAATGCATTTAAAATATTAAAACTAGAAGTAAGGACATCTTCTTTGCAAAAGAAATTAAATTCAAATCTATTCTGATTGCTTTACATGACTCGTTTTTGTTCAAAATATAGGTTAAAAAAAGGGTTCGCATATCATAATTTTGAGGATGCGCGCGCATGGTATGTCCCCCTTGACATTGAATTACAAAAGATATTTTAGCTCAGCTATTGTCAAAGGTGTTATTGTTATGGAAATGAAAATTAATATATAATATTGCTTTTTTCAATTTCCCAAATACAACTTAATAGGTTAAAACAAATCTTTAAGGATTTTATAGACAAAAGCATCCATGTTTAAATTACTTTAATTATTTGACATTCAAAATCATTCAGAATTAATAATTATTAGTGAATATTGGTTATGTGATTGATATAAATGTAGTTTGTCTTTTGTACAAGTCACTACTTCCACTTATCAGCAGTGGGGAACTCCCACATTCTCTTCATTCACAATGTAAATTTGACTTAGATTCAGCTATTCATTTTTAAGGTTTTGATACTCATTAATATCTCTTTTTTGCTGAATTAAAACATTAACATTGGTATTTGAAACAAAACAGTATGTATTTAATGGTATATAATAATTATATCTGGCGTTTTACAAATGAGTCTGGCTAAATTTCAAGTATGTAATGACAATTCTCAATATTATTCACAATAATGTGTTTGTCCCTAATCAGAAAACATAAATGTTTCTTCGCAGTCCGTTTTACTTTTATCGTTATACAATATGACACTAGATAACGCTATAATACAGTAATATAATAGTTTACCTGTCATAAATCAGTGTGTTTGTTAACTGATAAAAGTTTAATTATCAATACACAGGACTTATAAAATATTTAAGGTAATATTTATTAAAATAACTATTTATTTTGATATTGATATCACTTAAGACTCTTAAACGATTGACAAGTTTCTAATTTTGTCTTTTTTATAAATATGACAACTCCATAAATTAACTTTTTGTAAATGTCATTATTGTTGTGTTAGTGGTACTTCTTTCTTTCTCTTTGACTTTATCTCTAGTTGGGTAGTTGAATTCTGCTTACGGCTGCTAGCGGGCGTGGACGACAGCTTCCACATAATTTGAAGTTCATGAAGTTGAAATAAAAGATTTGGTCCTAAATAATTTCGATGTTCTAAAATTTATTTATGAAAAAATTCTAAAAATTCTACCAACTTACGGTTTGCCCTGCATGTAAATAGGCGGAGACCATTAAATCGCCTCATTTAACGTATGAATTTAAAACATACAATTAAGTTACAGCACTGTATGGTAAAAATTTCAGCACAATTTAAACAAAATAGAGAGAGTCTAGTGAAAATGGTGAAATTGTTGTCAAGGTCACATTTCACATGGCCTAAATTTCATGACTACACATCAAAGGACAAGACAGTAAGTCACTTTGTCAAATTTCAGGTCAGCTGATATCAAAGTTCAATTTACATCATAATCTTTGCACATGGTACACTGTACATCAAAGGACTAGAAAGTAGGTCACATGGCGTATTATATTTAAATATGTTTTTAACTTTTTTCGTGATAACAAATTTCCTTCTTCTGTACAGTCTGGGCTTTACACCAGGAACCTCAACCGTCAATTAGCTTACTTATTTTAAGGCTCTCGACGACGGATTAGAAGTGAGAACAGTATTTTCTTATAAGTAAAGCTTTTGACAAGGTATTGCATGATGGTCTTCTCTATAAATAAAAAAATGCTGGATTAAATGGAAAATTGCTGAACTGGTTCTCTGATTATCTTTCTAACAGACGTCAATGTGTCGTTCTTTCAGGAGCTCATTCTAATTGGGCAACTGTAAATGCAGGAGTTCCTCGAGAATCTATTCTTTAGCCTCTGTTGTTCCTGGTATACATAAATGATATTGTTGTTATTTAAACTCAAGCATACATTTCTTTACCGATGATACCTGTTTGCACATAAGTGTTGAAAATCCAATAACTGCTGCGGCAAGTCTTCAATCTGATATCGACAAAGTTTCAAGTTGGGCTGATAAATGGCTTGTAACATTCAACCCTTCTTAATCTGAAAACTATTATCATGTCACGCAAAACAACTAAGCCTTATAATCCGCCAGTTCTAATCATGACCAGAAAAGAATCATCTCCTCAGAAAATAGTCATAAACATCTTGGTCTTTACTTTTCGGATGATTGCTCTTGGCATGTACATATTAATTCTATCAAAGAGAATGCTTGGAAAATAATTCATATCATGAGAAAACTTAAATTCACACTAGACAGAAGATCACTAGAAGTTATATAGCTTTCATTCATATGACCTCTCATTGAATATGCAGATGTAGTCTGGATCAACTGTACACAAATAGAAAATATTGAGCTTGATTAAATTCAACACGAAACCACTCGTATAGATTCAGGGGCCACTAAACTTGTATCTCTTCGTGAACTTCAAAGAGAAGTACTTTGGGAATCCCTCGAAAGCCGGAGAGAAAATCACAAACTTATTTTGTTTTACAAAATAAGAATTCGTCTCGTACCAGATTATTTATCATTCTTAGTCCCACCATCAGTTGGAGAAACGTCCAGGTACAATTGACGAAAATGCTTCTGATATACAAACAATACGCACAAGAACGTCTCTTTACCATAATGCATTTCTGCCATCTACTTTGAGAGATTGGAACTCACTCTTTAGAGCAGTACAAAACTCAATATCTTTGTCCCCTTTTAAAACGCAACTTAATGGTAATATAGACATGCCCCAAATATTATTACGTAGGTGAAAGAAACTGGCAAGTCATTCACACACGGTTCCAAATAGAAATGTAGCTCTCTAAAACATCATTTATTCAGAAAAAAATATGTCCCCCAGGACCCCCACACCAAATTGTCAATGTGGACTCCTGGAAAGTAACCATCACTTTTTCTTTGAGTGTCACTTCTATAGTGATATCAGATTCAGACTATTTGATGCTGTACTATATCACTTCATACCTTACTAAACGGAGACCAGAATCTTAGCCATGATATTAAATTCTAAAATTGTTCGAGCAGTTCATGTATATACATGTATACGTGAAAGTAACCGATTTTCACAAAATAATTTCCGTACTTGACATATCCGAATGAATCTTCTTTACCTTCTTTTTAATTCTATTCAATTGTTTATATTCTTAAAAATAAGATCTTTTGAACAATGGCTGGCTTAATCATCGATTTGTTTTTGTTCCAAATATGTTAAAAAATAACTTCATTGTTTCAAACAATATTACCAACACTGTCATAATTTAACTGCATAGTACAAATATATAGGAGAAAACCTTTACAAGCTTTATAGCTTTCGGATCTAATCCCTTTACATTCGCGTATCTACGTATTGTAAATGTATTAACAACATGTCGTGTCATTGTTTGAAATTAACTATGTTTAAACTTAATTCACTAGACTTAGCTGCATTATGACAAAGTCCAAATGTATAGAAAAAAAATCATCTGTTCCTACACGTCTATTTAGTGTTGTATTAAATTAATGCTGTGGCATAGCATTTTTCACAAATGTAGTTGGATCTCATCCTTGAAGAACATTTTATGTAATGACATTTTGTAACAATCTAACTAGTTTGAAATTTCTATATTTTGATACTGACATTATGTTTTGGGGCGTTAAAATATATAGAGAATACTATGCTAGTGTCTGAAATTACAAAATTAAATCAGGCAAGCCTGAGCAAAAAGAAGGATGAGGGCTCTACAGAGCCTTTCGGGTTTTTTTCGTGCCTAGACTGATAAATTTTAAAATAACATTCATTGTTTGGTATTCTGTTTATCATGCTTTCAATTTTAATGTGCGTTTCTTTCTTTAAATTTCAATTGAGACAAAACCTTGTCAAGAAGCTCTCGAGTTCATGCCACGCGCAGTTATATTTTATAAGGATCATACTTGTATAAGAGACACTCCCAAATGTTTTAGTCAAATGTAAAAGAGACTTTAATCCTAAAGATGTTATTCGATTTTTAATGTTTATCAGTTTGATATATTCAAACTAGTTAGAAGTAAAAAAGATCACTCTCTTCATTTTATGTACCGATGAGGTGTTTGATAAAGCTGAGGGCGACTGATAAAGCTTATCAGACATGCACCTTATTAATAGAAGTCAATGTAATGGCATGCTAAATAAAACAATACGTTTATCTTTTGATATCACTTTTATCATGTTCGGTTGATAAAATTGGTATCAAAGTACTGTAGCATGTAATTCTCTATATACACATGCTGTTCTCTATATATAACGCATCCTATTCGACTAATATTTAGGACACACCGTCACAAAATGAACTCATTCGCGATATCAAAAGGTTTACATGTTCTTTATTTTTCTTATTTTTTTATAACTATCGTATATTGTATCGATATACTTAAAAAGACCTTTTTATTTCCGTGGCTATAAAATTCTTTAAAATAAAAGATGTTCTGCATCGGTTAGATTTTTAGACCATCTCAGATACTAATCTAATTATATTCACAGGTGATCGCTTGCTTTGACACATAACTCAACAAGTTCCGACGGCTAAATAGTAAATGACCAACAAACAACAGTAAGGATGAATATTCATCTGTTCTATATTGTAAGTATGACATTTCTAGCACTTATATATATCTCATTGCTAAACGTTTGCTGTCATGTGTTTAACATAGGTCGGTCTTCATTTAATGGTTTTCATACGAGAACTTACAGTACGGTCCATGATATGACTCAATCAAACCGAGCCTGCAACATTTTTAATTTTGCCGTGTTGGGCTTTCTTCAGAGATTCTTATTTTTTCTATTTTTTTACAGTGAGTTTCCGTGAAAAAAAAACATACACACAAAATAAAACAAAAGAGCCATGATTACTCTAAATCGCTCACCAGAGTCAGAATACTTGTTAATTTAAGTTGTTTTTTTTTTTTTAAGAAGATTTTTTCTTTTATTTTTTACTATATGTATATAAGGAAAATCAATTACCCCCCCCCCAAGACAGGGTCAATTTTGACCCAGGGCTTTTATTTGAACAAACTTAGTAGACACTTACTTGAAGATGCTTATTATCTAACCTCATGCTCTTTGTTTTTTTTATAAGAAGCCCTTTTTATGTTTTTGCCAAATTTGGTGATGCATTACTATGCTATGAGATGTTGTGAATACCGGTATTATATTGTAGAAAGTAGTATTTTACTCAATTCATTATTTCTTGCTACTGTTTTAATCAGTGCAGGCGTCCACACATATGCAAATTAACATTGATGCCATAACTTAAAAAACGAAAAGGATCATAATCACTATTTATGATGAACATTTAAGATAATAATACTTTACTTTTTGTCGACAGATATAATACTCTTTTATCGAACTTCATAATTAGCATTAATATCATCAAGTGCCAAATAAGTTTGAATTATTTAAGGGTATTTAAAGGTGACAGTGCTAAATATACGGCGGATGTTCGAAATGTATTGCTTATTTCTATCTGGAGACTTCAAATTTCAAGTTAGCCTAAAAGTGTTTATTTCTTGCCCTCGAAGTACTACCCGTGGCTAGAAATTCAGCCGATGTATCCACTTCTTGACGGCGTCACGGTACGCTGATTTGAGCACAGTAATAAGGTACTGATGAATGACAGATGAAGTGGTGCCTGTCGGGACTTGTATTTCCGCCCAGCAAGGAAGGATTTCAATTTCGGAAACAAAAATAAATCACACGGGGCAAGGTCTGTTGAATACGGGGGGTGAGGCAAAAAAGTTCCCTTTTCTTTTTTCAAAAACGCCGAAACTATTGCGGAGGTATGAGGGGGGGGGGGCATTGTCATGTAGAAGACGCTATGCTTAAAACCAGTGACAGGGCGTCGTTTCTTATAGTTTTCTTTTCAGTTTCTTAAGTACTACGTCTTTGTAGTACTTCCCAGATAAACTTTTGCCCTTTTCATCGGCACTTTTATTGCGACTCCTTCACCAGAGAAGAAAATTGCATACAAAACCTTCTTTGCACTCAAAAACCGTTTGGCAATTATTGGGAGTTTGTTGTGTTTAGTGGCCCAGATTTAGTTGCTATCTTTTCTGACGGGCTCAAAATAGGACTCAAATTTCTTTTTCCATCGCCTAACTGAGTCATAAGACACACAATAAGGTCCATAAGCAGTAGAGAGTTCAGTAATCAACTGTTTCAAAGAGCAACCCAGTTTTGAGCGAGCTTTGATGTAAGCCCATATTTCATCTTTTTTGTCGACGCTTCTACCAACCATTTTTACTACAGTGGTCAATTACTGCGTGTATTTAAATGGCAAATTGTATGTCTTACACTAAGCCTAACATGTACATTAATACACCGTTGTGTAGGTATTGAATTACCCTATACAGGTATGTATTGATTTTTATCGTGTACCACGTGGATCACGAGATAGAGGACAATAAGCAATTCTTTTCGAACAGCCCTTATACTTTGATATTTTGTTGTGTTCTGTTTTGTGGCACCATTAAAAGAAATATTTAATTGCGAGAAGTAATGAAGCTGTTATTTTGTAATTGTGAAGAAGAAGACTTCTTTAATAAAGTTTTGAAACGACTTTTATAAGCCCCCTGCTATAAAATTTTAAGCTGAATTCAAAACAGTAGTCAGACATCTCTCCCTTACCGGTTCCTCTCCTGACGTTTCCTCCCTGACGATTCTCTCCCTATTTTGGGGGAGAACCGTCTACATATTTGCAAATAAGCTGACAGTTCCTCCCAATTTTTAGTTTTATTAATACAATATTATAGTACTAAAGTATTTAGATGTTTAATAAATGGATAAGTTTATTATAAAAATATTATTAATTGATATAAAGTAGAGAATAAAAGATATTTTATTGAAGTATTTAGATGTTTAATACATTGGTATGTTTATGATTTATTGATATAAATCTAGATAAAAAAATACTTTTAGCATAATAGTTTTTTTATTAGATCTAATGAATACTTTTTAACGTGTTGAATAATTATTGAATAATTTACTTGATTGGGATAATGATTTGATATTAATTATTGGGTGTGTTTTTTGTAGTTTTTTTTTTAATAAATAAAAAAATATAAGAAAAAATGATTAATGAATTTTAATTGCTAAATTTCATACTTTTGTTAAACGAAGAAAGGAGTTCAATACACATATGTGTTAAGTTTGCTGTCAGAGAAAATTGAAGCGTTAATTAATTCATTTCTCAAGAATCAAGGTGTAATCTAATGATTAAAATAGCTGAGAAAAGGTGTTGATGAATAAGTATTTTTTATTAGATATTTGGTATTATATATTGTTTCATGTTAATGACTACATGTTCTTTAACCAATTTTATAAAAGTTAATGTGAAATGTGATTGCATACCAGTTATTGCTTATTTATTTTCTATAACATACCTGTATCACCTTATACGTTATTTAACAAATGAAGAATACCACTAGACCTTTACAGGTATATTTCAATCAATGTCAAATAATCTCACAATGAAGGTGTTAATAGGATTAAAATACCTGAAAAAGGTGTTAAATTTACAAAAACTTTACAGAATTAAGTAAACATAAAACATGAAATGCACTTAATATCAATTACATTCTTTTAATAATCTTCATTGAGAAATATAAGATTAAGGAAAAACTAAAATGATAACTTATAAAAAAAATGGGGGAGAACTGTCTGCATATTTCAAATTTGGGAGAGAACCGTCAGGGGAGGAAACAGTTTGGGAGAGAACCGTCAGGGAGAGGAACTGGTAAGGGGAGAATAGTCTGTCATTCAAAACTTTCTTAACATTATTTTAACTGAATTTCATTTACCTACCATATCAAAAATATATACACATATAATAACCTAGAATTTAGTTATTTATTTTTTCATTGCAAAATGTCATTGAAAGTAATATTTCAAATTGCTTTTCAGTTTCTCCATTAACCCAATCTGTTAATAGCATATGACATGCGGACAGTTCTCGTACAAAAATCGTAGTTACTTAAAATATATTTTTATTACGCACACTCATCAAAAAATTAATTGTTGCACATCAATATTTGGCTCGTCAAACAAATTATGAAAATTCCATTATGTTCTAAACATTACCCAGCAAACATTACATATCGGGCTGAGATCGATCCTACATCCTCTTCAATGTCGGCCTGATATCGGCATCCGATGGCGGCTCGACGTCGTGTGTGAAACCCGGCTAAAGGTCGGGCCGATATCGGTTTACCGACTTACAGCCGATATCAAACCTACATTCATAATAAACTTTTTTTCTTTCTACCAGCATATTGGTTTGCTTTTCTTTGCATATGGTTGTTTCACATATAACAGAACAGATATATATTTTGACAAACCTTTTATTACATCAGCAAAATTAAACTTTCATATACATAACATATTTACACATACATACTTCAATGTTTAAGAACCATTATGTTCAGCTTAGCTTACACAGATAAAAACTAAAACGTTTCCTATAATTGTCAAAATAAAAATGTTTAAACAAAAATACCTAAGTCATGTGACTAACAACAACAACTTTGCTAAAGTAATACTTTTTTTTTGTTTAGATAAAATTAGCTCAATGGCATTTTTCTTACTTATTCTTTTTTTTTTACATCCTGTAGACCTGAAAATTGTCTAGGCAGTATCATGCTGTTATCTTTGATATATTTAGTATTTTAAACTGTATTTTATATTTTGCATATTGATTCAGACTCCAGTGATTACAAGTTTGTGTAAAACTTTAAAAGAAAATAATTGACTATTTTTACATTGTCATGTTGAATAGAAGAGTTAAACAGCATTTTGAAATTTGTAAATGACTAAATAATGTCAGTGCCAATTGTAGTTCCTCCTGATATTTATATAAACTTCTTCATTTGTTTGGTTTTCTAGACGTTCTTTTTCCACCATGTATTGATCACTTGCCAGATGACGCTATTTCATGCTATCGATTTTCAATTGTTTATAATAAATCAGTAAATAACATGAAACTTTACACAATAACTCTTAAATCTCAAGCTGAATAATTATATTTTCATTATTATAGAAAATATTTTTGTCTTAAAGAAGCATACACTTACTCATTTTTAATATTGCCTAGGACTCTGCACTCTAATTCAGGAATCTGTTTAATTGTCATGCCACGGAAAGATAATCTACCTGCAATAGTCATTCATGTTTCAAACATCATACTAAAAGAGAATATATCAACGTAATAATATATTCACATTATTATTACTAAAGGACTAGGTTAAGAGCAATGTCCTAAGCGATAAGGTGGCGCGATAGCTCAGTTGGTTTGACCACTGACTGTCACTCCTGAGGTTTCGGGTTCGATCCTGGGTAACACCCTTGGTTTTTTTTCACAAACGCTTTCAGTGTTTCCCACCTACCTAGAAGCTTACTGGTACGAAACCCAGGTAATCCTCGCATGTATCAGTGCTATACACTGGGCATGTAAAAGAACCAAGGGATCTATTCAATAAGAGCTAGGGACTGGTTCCCGGACTCCCTTATATCTCATAGCTGTCTCTAGAGCCTGTTAGGTAAGGACCCTACTGGAAATGAGTGCTTTCACTTTCAAAGGTTATCCTTGAC